CTTCTTTGAAATCTTCCTGAAAGAACTTGTTTGATTGTACTTCAAAAGTCGATCCATGGAGTGGTAGATGCTGGAATATTGCTCGACGTAATGGGAAAGTTGACGATTGGAAAGTTGAAGACATCCTGTCTTGTTCCGGGGTCACGCGGTCTTGTAGATGTAATGTTTTTGTCTATATGCGCAGATCGAAATATAGAACAGGCGCTTTCTTTGATCTCGTTGTTCGTCTAGTTTAGTTAAATCTGTTTTGAAGGTCCTGGCTATTTGATGGTTATTGTACGATATCAGATCATCGATATGCCCGAATACTTCCTGTACCCCGCGTTCGCTTGTACAAACACATTACGGCACTGACTTGGTATAGGCGAGGCATGGCCAGGGTGTGATTGTTGTTTGTGATCAATCCTTTTCACCAAATTGCCTCGTTTTGAGTTTGCCAAACAAGTAGACCGCCTCCGTGGTGTAGTGGTTAGAGCGTCCGCCCGACCGCGTCATACCAAAAGACATTAAAACATGGTACTTGCTGGTCCCTGCCTGGCGCTCGGCATTAATGCGTACATCAAGGACTGGTCGGCTCGGAGTCAGTATAATGTGTCTGAGTGGGGTATTCATGCTTCACTGCGGCATGGTATCTCAGTGGGCTAGCACTATAAAACCAGCTTAAGTCTGGGCTAGTACAAGCAGCCGCACATACTCATACACACGCATGCACGTCGTCATATGAGCGAAATATTCTCAAGTACGACGTTAAACCCAATTCCACCACCACTACCACCGCCAAACAAGTAGATACTTCTATTCATATGCGTAAAGATGGCTTTGGTACTGGTGCATGATTTTGACCTCATTGGTTAATAGGACTTTATATGACCCGTATACCAAGTTCTTTGATGAAACAATGTATCTTGTAACAAGGTTATGTTACGAGAGGTTGCTGAAAATGTCTTGACCAAACTGTAATGCACTACGTTGATGCATACACGTTTCTTTTGGCACTACTCAAGCAATAGCTCAGCAGGAAATGGCTCCACACATTGTACCAATGTGGAACTCGAACCCGGGTCTTCGGCGTGCGAGTGCATGTATGGTTTTACGCCGCTTTCAGCAATATTACAGAGAAATCACGGCGGGGACACCAGAAATGGGCTTCACACATTGTACTCATGTCGGTAAGCGAACTGGGGTCTTCGTCGTGACGAGCGAACGCTTTAACCACAAGGCTACCCCACCGCCCCCTAGCTTATAATAGATAATCCACGCCTCGTCCGTGGATACAAATTGTTCAACATAATCAAGGTTTGCTCCATAACGACGTAAATTCTCGCGAGAAATCATGAACCTTGTAGGTGTCCGATAAGTGGTTCGGAACATTGGACCTCAGCGTGCTTTTAATCTTTTTCATGCCCAGTTCATTCCACAGAATGTACTCACCTACCTCACGAGAGACGCCCACTCCACCTGCTATATGACGTGTGGAGATTCTTCGCTCATCAAAAATCTTGTATTTTACATACATATGCCTTAGAGGTGGCAGATAAAGGTCACCCTGGTCTTCTCACTGCGCTCTCTTGCCCTCTTGAACACCGGAAGAAGTATTAACCCTAAAGTTGACGCCATGTCTCCAAGGATGGCTGTTGGTGTGAGGCCGTTCAGCTGGGTATACGTGAAGACAGCGGTAGCGAATTTTTGTTCATTAACATCAACAGAGATCACCTAGGTCTTAAATGTCATTAAGAAGTGATACACATACGGAAGAGAGTTTTATGGTGGGGTAGCTTAGAGATTAAACCGTTCGCTCGTCCCACCCAAGACCCGGGTTCGATTCCCCACATGAGTGCAATGTGTGAAGCCCATTTCTGGTGTCTCCTGCCGTGATATTACTGGAATATTGCTAAAAGCGGAAACCTCACTCACTCACTCACTCACTCACTCACTGTTATGAGGAACACGGGCGGTTGGGTAGCCTAGTGGTTAAAGCGTTGGTTCGTCACGCCGAAGACCCGGGTTCGAATCCCCACATGGGCACATTGTGTGAAGCCCATTTCTGGTGTCCCCCGCCGTGATATTGCTTGAATATTGCTAAAAGCGGCGTAAAACCATACCCACTCACTCACTATGAGGAACACAACGTTCGATGTATATCATCACCCCTTCATCATGTGAGTGAATGCTATGAGGCAGAGAGCATGTATGTAGATGTGAGAACAACAGACGTAATAAGACAACAAAGTAGAGAGCGTCATGTTGATGCCTGTGGAAATATGCTGTCTGCTTGTGGATGTGGGTCAAATGCAAACTGTGCTTAATACATGCAAACTGTTTAGGGCGTACTATAGAACTATTGTGTTTGGGCCCAGAGCGTTTCTGCCAGCTCCGGTATTCAGGCCTTGTCAGAGGGCGCCACTACACACACTTCTCGCGTAGTGCAACGAGACTTTGAATGACAGCTGTCAAGGACATAATGGGTTCATTTCAATTCTGTTTCCTGTCTTTCAGTTCATGCATTCTACCAGTGACAACATCGCGCATTGATTTAACCTACTCCCAAAGACAGTCAACAGGTTCATCTTCTCTATTGCCTAAAGTGCGGGATGCGCTTTGACAGTATCTAGAATGATTTACAAGTTGTAGTTAAATTGGTAGGATATTTGAATAACTAACCATGGTTGTTGTTATGCACAGCAGAGAAATCACCTGTTATGATATAAATGTCCACTATGATGAGTCTAGTAAATACAAGTAAGTGAGTGTGTTGGGTTTTATGCCGCTTTTAGCAATATTCCACGATTATCACAGCGGGGACACCAGAAAATTAATAATCTTCACGCGTAGTACCCATGTGGGGAATCGAACCCTGGTCCTCGGCAGCAACCACAAGTACTGGAGTTTACAACATGAAGTGCCAGGTCTCACGTTCTAAAATATGGGGTGGGGGGGGTATCCTAGTGGTTAAAGCGTTGGCTCGTCACGCCGAAGACCCGGGTCCGATTCCACACATTGGTACAAAGTGTGAAGCCTATTTATGGTGTCCCCCGCCTTGATGTTGCTGGAATGTTGCTAAAAGCGGCGTAAACCCCTACTCAGTCACTCACTCACTCTAAAATACGTTTCGATAATTAAACGACGACCGTCTTTAAAACAAATTCTCTCACTGACATGTATTCTGGAATATGATTCAGTCCTAACGTGTACAATCCAGGTAAATATCGTGGCATAGCACTTAGTAAGAACGAACACTTCTCGAATACTTCCTGTACCCCGCGTTCGCTTGTACAAGCACATTACGGCACTGATTTGGTATAGGCAAGGCACGGCCAGGGCTTGATTGTTGTTTGTTAATGTGATCGTCGATCGATAGTACAAGAAGGTTACGTCAAATATATTTAATGGATTGAGTCACTCGTCGGCTTTGGGCACCGGGAAAGGCGGCGGTCGGAAAGAGTGTACAGTTTCAACAGCAATATTAATCCTTATATTGTTGAGATGAGACTTCGAAGGACAGACACGAGTGCAATTTCATTATTATGAGATAGTCTGTGTTCGTAATTCTGTAACTAATTCGCCGTTACTTATTCTATTACCATATCAGATTTGTTATTAGCTGTTTACTCATTAAGTGGCTGATTTTCCGGAGGAAACCTGTGTTCTATATTGTCCGTACCATCAATCAGTTTATTGATTGAGATTATAATGTAAAAGATCCCTTGATTACACAAGGAAACACAATAAATGCAAACTGTTAAGGATGTACTATATTTACATCGTATTTAAGATATGTTTTATATCTAATTTTGTAGCTTAAGCAATGAAATATTTTACAATATTCATTAAAAGGTCATTGGTAAACTGTGCAGACAAAGAAATATTGATAACAACGGACCTGGTTACACGTGTTAGAATGGCCAAACCAAAGAAAAGGTTACCCAGGTTACCCTCTCATGGTTTCTGCTTATGTAAAGGTGTTTCTTGAGATCAAACATCTAGCATCTGGAATTCACAGGAATGGTGGAATTCACAGGAATGCTGATATCGCTGCCATTTTCTTATGACTAGGTATTTGTAGATAAAATGTCGCAGACTCCAGTCATCATGTGGTTTACTTGGAATAATGGTCCAGAGTAGCCCATTGTCCGAGGACGTTAAATTTCATTGTATTCCCGATGAGAAGCGCTGTCGTGGGGTAAGATTATAGTAAATAAATATATGTTTTAGTGAGTGCACTTACTTGAGTGTCTGTATCCCTGTAACATATGGGTCTGTCTTAGTTCCGTGTGGCGTTCCAACCCTGGACCTCCGAGTGACTAGTGATCACTACACAATGCAAAACAACATATCAAGTTCATTTAGCAAATAAGACATATAGACTGGCGTCTGTGACAGGTGCTCCTTTGCGTGGAGGTATTTCTGTTGAGCTCTTCTGTTCCCGCTAGTAGATGTGAGGTTTAGTTGTAATGTTCAGTGACGATGTCCAGTGTTGAAGGGAAGCACAAGGTGAAATTCTGTTCCTTCAGGTGTCTCTTTTCAGGTGACAGATTATCGAATCTCCCATTCACATATTTTCTCTTAGATATGTTTTAATATTCACACAAGACTCACGTTTTCAGAGGTGTGAATGTGAATTGTGTTGTTTATTTTGTATCCTCTATTTCATATGATCTGCACTCCTAGATATTCACATGTCTGTTTGTTTCATCCGGCATTCACCTAACATAACATGTGTAACGTATGCTGTTGATCACTAGATTGTCTGGCCCAGACTTGAATATTTATAGACCGCCGCCATATAGCTGGAATATTGCTGAGTGAGGCGTTAAACAACCAACCAATCTTTGTGTTATATGTGGCAAACGCGCTCATTTATTCGCGCGTGAATCTGTTTCACGTGATGAACGCGCTCAGGTGTTTCATTGCTTGGATCATACATCTCATCTTCCCTCTATTTTAGATGCCCCACCCATCCCAGGACTTGATCATGTATTCAAGGTGTGCTTATGTTTCAGGTGAGGTGGGTAAGGAGATGTACATTGTCAACCGTGGGAGATTGCACGTGGTGGCGGACAACGGGAAGACCGTGCTCGCTACTCTCAAACCAGGCAGCTACTTCGGTGAAATCAGTATATTAAACATGGGCACTGCCGGCAACAGGAGGACTGCTTCCGTGCGCTCAGTCGGGTACTCAGACTTGTTCTGTTTAGCAAAAAAAGACCTGTGGGACGTTTTAAAGGAATACCCCGCCGCGAGGGTGAAACTTGAAGCAATCGCTGTTAAACGTTTGGAAAAATATAAAAAGGCGCCATTAGAAAAAGGTATGTATGGAATGGATATTCTCTTTCAAATAACAATGTTTCTCATTGTAGTGCATTTTACTGTCAGTGTTAATTTATTCCTCATTGGTAGGCTGATTTAGGAGTCCATGTTTGTTGTAAAATAACATAACGTTGTTGTCAAATGAAAACAAAACGTGTTTTAAATCTACCTGTATAATTGTCTGTAAAATATATACTGCAGCCCAATATACTGTGATTTATTAACTGTATATTAACGAAAACTTGAATTCCTCTGATAAATGGTCTTCAAATATCTCGTCCTCCTTACAGAATTGGCCCAATCATATCTTAGTCCTCCTTAACGACTTGGCCAGGTGACATCTAAGTCCTTCTTACAGACTAAGTCTTGGCCAGGTCACATCTTAGTCCTTAAAGACAGCCCGGTCATATCTTAGTCCTCCTTAACGACTTAGCCAGGTCACATCTTGGTAATTCTTAAAGACTTGGCCCGGTGACATCCAAGTCCTTCTTACAGACTAAGTCACAAGTCTGGCTTGGTCAGATCTTGTCCTATTTGAAGACTTGGTCCGGTCACATCTTACGATCACTAAATTCAGGAGATGATTAAATGATGGACGTACAACTATCTAACGAAGGAAAAGAAATAACTTTGTTTAGAAAGGAATAAAACGTCGCGGCTAATCAGTTTATTCGCTCCTCATCCTGTGATGTCACATATGGGTATATCATAAGAGTCATTCCAATCACGACGACTATCCAGCGCGAGATCCAGGCGTCATCTCAACCATAAATATCTCAAAGTTGCATCTTTGACCTTTGCGGAAGCAGACGACAGATTGCGAGAAACTGTCCCTCGTGACTTGTCATGGCGGTTGATAGCGGAAGCTGTAAACCACTCGTGGACTGATTTTCTTATAATAATTGCCAGCGACGCCACCTAGATCACCTCCATATTCTCCCACCACATTACAAACCGTCCCAATACACCTACATTCCCATATCTCATCCGCCCCGTGCCCGTAACTTAACACCTAAACACCTATTACCCCATACCCCTTAAACCATTATGCCCCTCAACTCCCACATCCCACACGCCCCATACACCTACACACCACACAGCTGGACACTCCTCCACCCCACACCCCTCAACTCCTACACCCCACAACCCCCTGACGCCACACCCCACAACCCTCAACTCCTACACCCCACAACCCCCTGACGCCACACCCCACAACCCTCAACTCCTACACCCCACAACCCCTGACGCCACACCCCACAACCCTCAACTCCTACACCCCACAACCCCCTGACGCCACACCCCACAACCCTCAACTCCTACACCCCACAACCCCAGGACACCTACACCCCACACCCTCAACTCCTACACCCCAGAAATACATAGTCCCCTGACACCTACACCCCACACCCTCAACTCCTACACCCCACAAATCCAGAATGCCTGACGCCCCATACACCGACACAGCACACCCTAAACTACAACTACCATACGCCTATATCTCGCAAACCCCTGACATCTACCGCCTATACCCCTCAACACATACATCCCATAAATAAATAACTCCCTAACGCCTACACACCATATCCCTAAAACCCCATACACCTTATCTCACCTTATACCTTCACCCAATAGTCCTCAACACCCTTACACCTTCACCCAATAGTCCTCAACACCCTTACACCTTCACCCAATAGTCCTCAACACCCTTACACCTTCACCCAATAGCCCTCAACCCCCAAACACCTTCACCCCATAGCCCTCAACCCCCAAACACCTTCACCCAATAGCCATCAACCCCCAAACACCTTCACCCAATAGCCCTCAACCCCCATACACTTTCACCCAATAGCCCTCAACCCCATACACCTTCACCCAATAGCCCTCAACCCCCTTACACCTTCACCCTATAGCCCAACCCCAACACCTCAGCCCAATTCAACACACCTTCACCCTATACCCCAAACACCTTCCTCAACCCCTTACAGCTTCAACCCCAAACACCTTTCAATCCAACCCCCATACACTTTCACCCAATAGCCCTCAACCCCTTTACACCTTCACCTATAGCCCTCAACCCCTTACACCTTCACCCACAGCTCTCAACCCCCAAACACCTTCACCCAATAGCCTCTCAACCCCCAAACACCTTCACCCCTCAATAGCCCTCAACCCCCCCTCAAACACCTTCACCCAATAGCCCCTCAACCCCCATACACCTTCACCCAATAGCCCTCAACCCCATACACCTTCACCCTATAGTCCTCAACCCCTTACACCTTCATCCAATAGCCCTCAACCCCCCCTTACACCTTCACCCAACACCTTCATCCAATAGCCCTCAACCCCATACACCTTCACCCAATAGCCCTCAACCCCCATACACCTTCACCCTATACACCTCACCCAATAGCCCCCTCAACCCCTTACCTTCGTTCTATAGTCCTCAACCCCCCAATCCCTCAACCCCCACTTACACCTTCACCCACATAGTCCTCTCCCCCATACACCCCCAATAGCTCCTCAACCCCATACACCTTCATCCATAGTCCTCAACCCCCTAGCCCTCAACCCCTTTACACCCAATTCAACCCCCATACACCTTCACCCAATAGCACTCAACCCCCATATTACACCTTCACCCTATACACCTTCACCTTCAATAGCCCTCAACCCCACCCAATAGCACTCAACACCTTCACCCAATAGTCCTCAACCCCCATACACCTTCACCCTATAGTCCTCAACCCCCTTACACCTTCATCCAATAGCCCTCAACCCCCATACACCTTCATCCAATAGCCCTCAACCCCCTTACACCTTCACCCAATAGCACTCAACCTCCTTACGTCTTATCTCTGGTTCTTCCTCTCCCCCTATCCTCAGTTCTCTATAACGGTGGGTTTAGATCTCATCTTCCTTTCATCCGCCGCAAAATTTGTTTCATGAAAGCGATCTAATTTACAACAAAAAATAACCTATGCTCACGTTTTTTAGTCTATCTCGTCTGCCGATATATCGAACGAGAATGGATATGAAAAGACTGTTTCTAATTTAAGACTTCGTTTTGTCTGAACGCCACATACGTTTAGCCCATGTTAGCATGTTCGAGAGTTGGGACGAGGAACAGTTTTCTCTGTCAGCAAAGTGTGGTTAATTCCTTGTTCCCAAGTCAGTTGGGAAAACGTTATTTGTACTTAGGAAAACACGATAGGTTTTTAAAGGTGTTGATTGGAGTGGGGCGGTGTATCGTCTAATCCGGTATACGCCAATGCCGGGCGGTAAGTGAGTTAGATCTCCTATGGGGATATTATCGAGGTTCTGTCGACCTTTTAGATAAACCGATTCTCGTCAATACTGCTCAAAATAAGATTAAAGTTGTAGCTTCAGCAGCTTGGTTAGATGAAGCGCGTTAGTAGCTGCCGACCGGGAGTGGTAGCCACCAAACGAACGTGTGTTTTCTTTACAGCCAAAACCACGCGTGTTTAACTTGCTGCATGTCTCAGATTCACGCCGGGGTTGGTTTAGGTGTTACGCAAAATCGAATTGACCTTTCGATTGGAGAAAGAATTGAAGTGCTCAGTGGCCTTGGAATCCTCATTTATTTCCGTGTTAGCACGGGGACTTGTAATTAGACGATTTTCACATACTTTTAGAAACTTTACTTCCTATCTTGTCATATATCATTATAAACATCATATATTTGTTCACTATATCATATATACAGCCACATTGAGCATCATTATCACAAACTATTTGCTATCATATACAAGTTAAACGGGTGGCCTTGCTATTATGGTGGCGTGTGGTCCTGTGCATAGAGCTCAGACACACATCAGTTAAGCAAGGTTGGGTGCGGAGGGTCCTTGGATGGGTGACAGTGTGTGACAGCTTGAATCCTGAGATTTCTAGGACTTCATTTCTGCCCCACAACGAAGCATATGTGATACATGTGGTCTCACCTTAGAGGCAAGTGGGTTTATTCACAATTGCCTCTGTTCACCCAGCAGAAAATGGGTACCCGGTTGGATAAAGTCATGTGACCATAACCTTCTAGCGCCTAACAGGCAGCTTGGGTTACCCGGGGTAATAATAATCAGATTGTGCGCTTTGAGCAAAATGATAGCCTGGAAGAGGCGCGTTACAAATATTTTCATTATTATTATCAATCTGAAGAGTTTAATCCCTTGCTTGAACCAGAATCCTATGACCGTGGGTTTGTCAGCACAGCCTTTGATATTGTCTCTGCTGTAGTCCGCTAGGCCCAAGACCACCACAAATAGATTCTGGACCAAACACTTTTTCAGCGTCTCCAGCAAAACCGCGTTATATTAATTACTCAATTAATTTTTTCAACATTATATGTTTTCTTTGACGCATTGCCTCATCACGTGCTCTGTCATTTCCTGGTGTCCTCAATGGCAATTAAATATTCAGGGTTATGAGATATTAAATATTTATTTAATTTATGTTTTTACAGCCGAGCCATATTCGACTTTCCAATGTGTTACTCGTCGATTAATGAATACCCTTGGCAGAATCGCTATAATTTGAAGCCCGTTTGAAGCCCGATACGAATGGCACGACGTAAAATTACTCTCATGATTGGTTGGCGGGTTGGTTGGTTTGTGTATTAACGCCAGCTATATGGCGGCTGTCTTTAAATAATCTAGTCTTGACCAGATAATCCAGTGATCAACAACAAGAGTATCAGTCTACGCAAATGGGATACGATGACACGTGTCAACTAAGTCAGTGAGCCTGACCACCCGATCCCGTTAGAATACTCTAATGCGAAACTCTAGATGAAGGGGTTGAGATAATGACGCCGCACTCGACAGGAACCTATGGTGGCGAACTGCTCAAGGGTATTTATCATGATGGAAATACGATAGACTAAGGATGAAGATTTGTTGACCTTCACCTTTGTTCACTTTTACCTTTGTTGATCTTCACATTTGTTGACCTTCACCTTTATTGTTTCAGTTGCAATGTCTAGGAGTAAGAGCACGCCTGGCCTTGTGGAATCAGCCGGCAAGGTCCCGCTGGAGACGATGCTTGTGCACCGCCACCACACCCTCCCTGCCGGGCTCCCCGCCCACAACAGCACGGAGGAGAGACACGACCAGTACGGTGCAGACTACGGGGGAGGTATGGGTCCAGCGTCTCGCAGCGAGGACAACATCATCGCTCACTGCGACGACCACGAAAGAAACGAGTCGCTGGAATCAGCGCAGCAGGTTGTGTGCAATATGACCACATCAATGACAATATCGAGTATGACGTCGTACGCCAGTGCATCGCCGCCACAGAGATCGCCAGTTGTCACGGAATCAGCCAAAAGTCCATTCAGTCCTCCACCGTCGCCTCGACAAACCAAGTTCTCTGTGGCGGGAATCTCCACCGTCAGTGCCAATACACCTCCGACTATGTCCGACCATTACCAGCGGGCACACGCCCACTACCAGGGGAACTTGAACACCCTTCCTCAAAACTACCCATATGTCAACCAGCCCCAAATGGCGTACCTGACGCCTTTCTCAGCACCCCCTGTCTACAGCCCTCCCTCCCCAAGCATGATCCTGACCACCCCTAACAGTCTGGGGGCATCTCAGTCCAGTCTCGTCCCCCCTCACCACATCCAACACCCCCTGCAAACCCATTCCCCCATGGCGATGTCTCCTATGACCGCTAGCATTAGTCCAGTGAGCATAGGGTCGCCATGTAGACAAACAGATACCCAAGCTGAAATTTTGCTCAAGGAGATATCCAGGTTGAGAGAGAGACTCGCCCAGTTGGAGAGTGAGAACTCAGCTCTGACTGTGAAGCTAAACCAGCAACAGTGGGACGTGGAGAATCGCTTGACAGAACTGGAGATGCATATTTGCCAGAGTGACAGCGTGGCGAGTACTGGGTCTGGTGACGAGAAGCAACAGGACAAACACGCACCTGTTAACAGGGAGTCGATCATATGATGACAGGGACGGAAGGATCGTGAGAGTATGAAGCTCCGGGCCCTGTTTTTTGAATCTTTGATCAAAACACTAGGTCTGGGTAAAGCATCTTTGAATGCCAGTGCATCGTCTGCTGTGAAGGACATGGCACGAGTAGCTATAGTGTCAAGGGAGATGATTCCACTACCTGGGCGCCAGGTCCATGTTGCCCTGGCAACCTATGAGAACGTTTGATTGTGATGGAAATTTCTGCTGCTCTAACTTCGATGCACATCACATTAAGGGACCAGTCTTTCAGAAGCCTTTTCTGAGATTTCAGGGATTGAACAATTAATCTTCCACTTCTAGAGGACCTTGTGCTCCATCTCATTATTCCACAAACGAAGGCGGAAGCTCCCTTCTGAAAGATACAAAGAGTCGTTCCCCTTGAACAATTACCTATCTTCAAAGTGCGAGAGTACCAACTGACCATTGATGGGTTCTCTCCCTTTGCTCCATATCACTGCGAAAGGCTCTCCCAGCGCCATCGAGCGGTGAGTGTGTGCAAGGGTAGACTACTCGTCTCCAACTAGAATGCACTAGCTGTGGTTGTGAGTATAGTCGAATATTTCTGCTCAAAACGCGGAATGTTATATGATGACTAAATTGAGTTTTTAATCCAACATTGTGAGCAACGTAGCCACGAACAGACATGTGATGACATCAGAACTTCTTAACACCTTTGTACATCAATGTATATATTTCAGTGCAGGCCGTGCATTGATTGGATACAGCTCCACAGGATAAAACCAAAGAAATGTCGACAAGGCAAATAATCCGTGAGAAAAAGCAATGGTCGTGACGTCACCGCAAAGTTCATATCCACTGCAATACAAAACTGTCCCACATTGTGTTCTCAGTGTTGAATGTGATTGGACAGATATGCCACGTGAGGGTGAGCCACGTGACTACCAGTGTCAAGGTGAGGGTCGAGCTCAATGCAAGAGGAGAACAGCTTCCTTTTTAAGATGCAATTTAGAACCAAAATAGCATTTAAAGAAATGTGGCGCTGTTTATTGATAGTTTTATGCTGAATAGATATTCATGCATTTTGTGAAATCTGTAAAATTAGCCATGAAACATCCGCCTTCAGCTTAGGGGGATATGACATAGTAAACTTATTAAATAACGTTTGGCTCTCAAATAAAAGAGGATTTCGGTTAACACACTGAATTATCAGAGGTTCTTTTGAAGGAAAGTGAACTGTAAAACGAATGATGATACGTCACTGCGCGATAAGTAGGTTATAACACCTTATAGCCAGGATTCACGAAATACAATGGTTATTCTTTATAAAGATTGTTAACCTTCTCAACACACACTCGCGGAATAACCTTTAAATATACGCATGTTTATTGGATTTAGAATATATATTGCTACTTTCATCAGTGATGTTATGCGACCGTTGGCTGTGCATAAAGTTAAATTGTCCCAACATAAGCATAGTAGATTATTGTTATTTGGGAGACTGGGTTAGACTGTAGTACTAGTCGAGCTGCTGGGCTAGTCCACGTGTAGTACTAGTCGAGCAACTTGGCTAGTCCACGTGTAGTACTAGTCGAGCTGCTGGGCTAGTCCGCGTGTAGTACTAGTCGAGCTGCTGGGCTAGTCCACGCGTAGTACTAGTCGAGCAACTTGGCTAGTCCGCGTGTAGTACTAGTCGAGCTGCTGGGCTAGTCCACGCGTAGTACTAGTGGAGCAACTTGGCTAGTCCGCGTGTAGTACTAGTCGAGCAACTTGGCTAGTCCGCATGTAGTACTAGTCGAGCAACTTGGCTAGTCCACGCGTAGAGCTAGTCGAGCAGCCTCACAGCGGCCCTCGGGGAATGATTATCATGTTCACATTGTGTCCATGTGGGAATCAAACCCAGGCTTCCCATGCCCCATGTAACCGATATCGATCTCAAACTTATGCAGGAACTGAAGAACACATCAGATGTTGTACGAAATAAGAGAAGAGTTATGAAAAAAACATGTCACTATTTGTCCAAAATTATCTTAAAATTATCCAATTTGGAAATAATTGGAGTCTACTATGACACATTGTGTTCCTACCTCAAAATTGGATCCAAACGGGTCGTTACATGATCTTGAAACCGACAACGGATTTGTTAACTACACAATGCAGCATACTAAAAGTAGTGAACGTCGAGAATGAGATATTACGAATAAGATTATTTATCCATGCTGTCTCCAAACGTTTTGTTACTGTGACATGCTGATATAAGACGCATGATCCTGCTTATGGAGGTCTGTGAATCCTGGCTTCGTTTCTAATTTGCTGAATCGTATCTTCACAACCAATAGCCTCTAAACCCGGAAGTGCCGAGCTCTGCCAATTAGACAAAAACCGTCAGCGTTTCTGTTGCCCTAATCTTGCAGGCCTTGTCATTAACGAGATGGTGAAACGACTTTTAAATCGCCATTTATACTTCTCCCACTGCTTATTCTACGATCGAATGTTATTCGGGTTATTGGCGGAATAGCCCCGAAGGCGTCCGATGTCACGTGACCACGTCACGTGTCGTACAGATATGGAATGTGATAACCCTCAGATTTGAGGTTCTCAGTGACATGCAACAGTACATACAGTGTCACGTTTGTTTTACGTATTTTCATTCCAGTTTTACCTATCATACCCACGTTTCTACGTACCTGAATCGTGGGGGTGAAGTGACTTGTTCTCAACGTGTTTGTCATTTCAGAATTATAACTGTTTTGGTATTTCTTTATCATATCATTCCATGACACATGACAATATCATCATATCAGTTATCAAAAGTTGTTGTCTTGATACATATTGTGTCAGTGACACCACCACGTGCAGGGAATAAGTCTGACGTCATAGATATGTAATGGTATTGAATGGGGCGAGTGCGGTAGGCACATTAGATATATATGAGTGATCGAAATCCGTGCAGTTGATATGTTGGAAATTACTATGTACAATAATTGCAATATAAATTCAATATTTTCATTACTTTTCCAGTCATATTTTAAATACAAAATATCCTCATAGTGTATCTACTTTGTTCTAGCAGTTAACTCAAAAGTTCTTTCTTTTCGAGGGAAACTCGTCTTTCCTGGACGGGAATCCGTGAATGAGGATAATCTCGGTATGGGGAATCTCCTACATGGTTATTTCTGGAATCGCCATTGTGGGGAATTCCCTGTAATGGGGTTTTCCCTACACTCGGAATCCTGTAAAAGGGGAATACAGAGTGTCTTATTATTATCGGTGAGGTTAAGTTTGATCCAATATTCAACGTTCATTTAACATAGATTTGAAGGATTTGGAAGGAGTTGAATAGAAGGGGGTCGTTTCGTATCATCGTACAAAATATCTCAAAATACAATTTGATCCGCCTCACTGGCCAAAACTCCACGAAGTCCTCCACTAGTCCAGTAACCAAGGTGATATTTGCTGTTATATTTTACACAGTTTGTACGATGACGCGAGACGGCTGAGGGTGACATGTATACCCCTGAGGCCATCTCTGTGCCTCTAGGGCTATGTTACTATACTGTACACTCGCGGGATGACACACCCGGAACTGGTCAGTTACATCCAAGCGATAATCAATAATTACAGGACCTCTTCGAACACTGCAAAACTGTTCCAGTGATCACATTATTGCGATCGAGAGGTAGCCTCGTGGTTAAAGCGTTCGCTCGTCTCGCCGAAGACCCGGGTTCGATTCCCTACATGGGTACAATGTGTGAAGCCCATTTCTGGTGTCCCCCGCCGTGATATTGCTGGAATATTGCTAAAAGCGGCGTAAAACCAAACTCACTTACACACTCATTGTGATCGACCTCGAAATAGATTACCGGGGTATAGGACTGCCATGTTGATTTTTATCACTTCTAAACTAGAAATGGTTTTGTTTATGCTAACAATACTTAGAGTACATGTAAAAGCCAGTATTACAAATATTACACAAAACTCTGCAATGATGCAATGTGTGGTATGTACTCTTGAGATTTCCGAACTTCGTCGCCAGTATTGACCCGAATACGGAAACAACCGATGTTAACCGATCAGTTCCGAAAGTGTATCCCTGCCAAGTGTTGGTATGTTGTTCCGTCAGTTTGTACAGGCCAGTAGGAACATTTATAGTTAAATAAATATTTCATTAAATTGATTTTCACGTTTACATTATTGTTATGAAATGGAAGTGTGATGGCAATTTTCATTTTATAATTTTATTCTCTTGTTTCTCGCGGTCTTCCAGCCTGTTCCTTAATCTCCTTACTCAGTACGCGATGCATGGAGTTTAAGTTCCTTGCAGGGTACATTGAGTTGCGGGTTTCGGCAGACCCTGGAGCAGTGGAATAAATGAATAAAAGTTATTACTTACATATGTTTGTGTTTGAATTGTCTTTTCCTTTCTCGGGGCACATGCTGATGAGGCCATTTGTAACAGGGTGTCAATAAAGACCAGTGTGGACTTCCGGGTGCGAAAACTGGTTCCCAGCAGTCTGTGATTGTGGCAGAGTTATCGGACAGTCATGCGCAGTGACGTTGTTGATGGCGTGTTAGCGATGGAGTATTACATCAATCTTGCTGTATGGATGAAAGCAACAATAATTTTAACTCACTCATAATGCTAATCACTGGATTTTCTGGTCTCGATTACGTACATACCGCCGTTCATTTGGAATATGGCGGATTGCGAGGTTATTAAATATAACTCAATATGGAAGACATAGAGAATCTCACCCAAGTGTCTTCTGATATCAATTATATCAACACGAGTTGATAAAGTTACAAATATCCGAGGCTTGCCGAGGATATTTTTACTTTATCAACGAGTGTTGATATATTTGATATCAGAAGACACGAGGGTGAGATTCTATTTATCATTCAAAATCACTCTTCATTAATTTTCAATGAAAAATGTACATCTCTGAACATGGTACTGCCATTAGACTTGCAGTGCAGCGATGTCATAGCATTGTGACGTCATCAAGTACATGACGTCATCACATTGTCAGGGCATTGTACAAAATCTACTGTCAAAACGATATCTCCTAGGAGATATCGTTTGATCTCACACAAGCGATATCTCCTGTGGAACACAGTTTTGGATGATAAATGCTATTAACTGAAGGGCAGTGGGGTAGCCTAGTGGTTAAAACGTTCGCTCGTCACGCTAAAAACCCTGGTTCGATTCCCCACATGGGTACAATGTGTGAAGCCCATTTCTGGTGTCTACCATGATATTGCTGGAATATTGTTAAAAGCGGCGTGAAACAAAACTCATTCACTCTCACTCTTTTAACAGAAACCATAGCAAGCTAGGATTACAAGATAGCATACAGTCGATTTTCAAAAAAAATAGAAATAAACAGAAACGACATACCTATTCAAATATTGTATAGGGGCACTGAGGCAGTATAATCATTTGCCGTTTTGAAAAGTCCAATAAACCCAATATAGTGTCAGAGTCATCCCACACCACCCTGGGGGTAAATTGAACGGTTTCAGGGATCATACGCGGGACGGCATGTGCGTTGACATAACCATTACTGTCACTGGAATATAGCTGTGTGTGGCGTGGCGGTAAACCACAAATAATCTGTCATTTATTGCGTGAGTGAGTGAGTTTAGTTTTACGCCGCACTCAGCAATATTCCAGCTATATGGCGGCGGTCTGTAAATAATCGAGTCTGGACCAGACAATCCAGTGATCAACAGCAGGAGCATCGATATGCGCAATTGGGAACGGATGACATGTGTCAACCAAGTCAGCGAGCCTGACCACCCGATACGTTAGTCGCCTCTTACGACAAGCATGGGTTACTGAAGATCAATATTCTAACCCGGACCTTCACGGGTCGTCACTAATTGAATGTCACTGTGCCAGTAACATGCATGTCCTCGACGTGCAAACATACGTGCGTACACTTTTACAGCCTTCCTATGTGGTCGACGCCTGAAGATCCGGGATGGAATCAGCGTTAAACAACAAACCAACCTACCAATCCTATGTGTTCAAATTATTTCAAAGAATATTGGAGAATATTGACAGTAGATGCACAAGAAACGTAACAATGTGCCTCGAATTACCTCGTAGTTGTTCGAAACATGACATGATATACAACTGACTGACTGACTTAGTTTGGTTTTACGCCGCTTTTAGCAATATTCCAGCAATATCACGGCGGGGGACACCAGAATGGGCTTCACTCATTGTACCCATGTGGGGATTCGAACCCTGGTCTTCGGCGTGACGAGCCAACGCTTTAACAACTAGACTACCCCACCGCCCCTGATATACAAACATATCACATGACATCATTTGCTATAATGACGTATCCTACTATGGTTTACTTTCTCTGAGTACATATTCAACAAAATAAGGATAAATATTTTGCATAGACATTCACGTGTACGATTTCTGTCCCTCTTCATATATTAATATATCATAGTTGCTTTGGAATCGACCTATAGAACAATGGGCTCACACTTCGGGAATTGTAACAGATGTTTCGTTACACACTGTGATGTCCAGCCGTGCCTCGGTTTGAAGGTATAAGAATCAGTGGGTACCAGTGACTCATGTCGGCCGTGTTCACTCACTCCCCCACCTACTTAATCATTCTTTCACTAAATCGCTAAACCACTCTTTTACTAATTCACTCAACCACTCAATCATTCAATAACTAAATTACTGAACCACTCAATCAACAAACCACTAAAACACCCAGTCACTAAACCACTCAAACGCTCAATCGTTCAATCGATATACCATTCAATCAATAACCACTCAATCACTCAATCACTCGATCACCCAATCACTCAATCAATAAACCACTCAGCCACTAAATCACTCAACTGCTCAACCACTAAATCATTCAACCACTATATCACTTAACTGCTCAACCACTAAATCACTCAACCACTAAATCACTTAACTGCTCAACCACTAAATCACTCAACCACTAAATCACTTAACTGCTCAACCACTAAATCATTCAACCACTATATCACTTAACTGCTCAACCACTAAATCACTCAACCACTAAATCACTCAACTGCTCAACCACTAAATCAATCAACCACTTTATCACTTAACTGCTCAACCACTAAATCACTCAACCACTAAATCACTCAACTGCTCAACCACTAAATCAATCAACCACTATACCAATCAACTGCTCAACCACTAAATCACTCAACCACTAAATCACTCAACTGCTCAACCACTAAATCACTCAACCACTTTAACACTCAACTGCTCAACAACTAAATCACTTAACCACTAAATCACTCAACTGCTCAACCACTAAATCAATCAACCACTATATCACTTAACTGCTCAACCACTAAATCACTCAACCACTAAATCCTTTAACTGCTCAACCACTAAATCATTCAACCACTAAATCAACCACTAACTGCTCAACCACTAAATCACTCAACCACTAAATCACTTAACTGCTCAACCACTAAATCAATCAACCACTAAATCACTTAACTGCTCAACCACTAAATCATTCAACCACTATATCACTTAACTGCTCAACCACTAAATCACTCAACCACTATATCACTCAACTGCTCAACCACTAAATCATTCAACTATTCCATCACTAAATCACTCAACTATTCAATCACTCAACTATTCAATCACTATATCACTCAACTATTCAATCAACTATTCAATCAGTAAATCACTCAACTATTCAATCACTCAACTATTCAATCACTAAACCACTCATTAACTCATCCACCACCTAGTCACTCATCCACTTATTCACATTTACTAAATCACTCAACCACTAAATCAGTCAAATGCTCATTAACTAAATCACTCAACCACTACATCACCCAACTGGTCAACCACTAAATCACTCAACCACTAAATCACTCAACTGCTCAACCACTACATAATTCAACCACTATATCACTCAACTGCTCAACCACTAAATCATTCAACCACTATATCACTTAACTGCTCAACCACTAAATCACTCAACTGCTCTAAAACTAAATCAACCACTAAATCACTCAACTGCTCAAAATCACTAAATCACTCAACCACTAAATCACTTAACTGCTCAACCACTAAATCACTTAACCACTAAATCACTTAACTGCTCAACCACTACTAAATCACTCAACCACTAAATCATCAACTTAACTAAATCTCAACCACTAAATCACTTAACTGCTCAACCACTCACTCAACCACTAAATCACTTAACTGCTCAACCACTAAATCACTCAACCACTAAATCACTTAACTGCTCAACCACTAAATCACTCAACCACTAAATCACTTAACTGCTCAACCACTAAATCAATCAACCACTATATCACTTAACTGCTCAACCACTAAATCACTCAACCACTAAATCACTTAACTGCTCAACCACTAAATCACTCAACCACTATATCACTCAACTGCTCAACCACTAAATCAATCAACCACTATATCACTTAACTGCTCAACCACTAAATCACTCAACCACTATATCACTTAACTGCTCAACCACTAAATCACTCAACCACTCAATCAACTATAAATCTGCTCAACCACTAAATCACTATTCAATCACTGCTTCAATCAACTAAATCACTCCAACTATTCAATTATTCACATTTACTAAATCACTCAACTATTCAATCACTAAATCACTCAAATCACTTCAAATCACTCAACTGCTCAATCAACAACTTCAATTCAAACTCAACCACTACCAACCACCATCACATCACTCAACTTCAACTACTAAATCATCAACCACTAAATCACTCAACTGCTCAACCACTAAATCACAACCACTATCATCACTGCTCAAACCACTAAATCACTCAACCACTATATCACTTAACTGCTCAACCACTAAATCACTCAACCACTAAATCACTTTTAACTGCTCAACCACTAAATCACTCAACCACTAAATCACTCAACTGCTCAACCACTAAATCATTCAACCACTATATCACTTAACTGCTCAACCACTAAATCACTCAACCACTAAATCACTTAACTGCTCAACCACTAAATCAATCAACCACTAAATCACTTAACTGCTCAACCACTAAATCAATCAACCACTATATCACTTAACTGCTCAACCACTAAATCACTCAACCACTAAATCACTTAACTGCTCAACCACTAAATCATTCAACCACTATATCACTTAACTGCTGCTCAACCACTAAATCACTCAACCACTAAATCACTTATATCAACTGCTCAACCACTAAATCACTCAACCACTATATCACTTAACTGCTCAACCACTAAATCACTCAACCACTAAATCAATCAACTGCTCAACCACTTAACTGCTCAACCACTAAATCAAATCAACTCAACCACTATCTCAATCACTCAACT